TGGATAAGGCGCGCGCAAGTGCAGCAGCAGCTCGAAAAAAGAAATGGATGTGTCTTTTAATAGTTTTGATAATTATTGCTATTATTGTGGCCGTTGTTATATATATGGTTTTAAAGTCGAAGAACAATAATAATAGTAATCGTTAAATAGCATTTATTACTTTTTTATTGCTAACAATAAAATAGACTATCGATGTTCATTTATATTCATTTCTTTAACGCACGATTTGATCGGTGAAGTTAAAGACCTGTATATAGTGATTGTATTGTGGGAATATTTGCTTTGATACAATGCCTAATTTAATATATATATTATTGTATATGTATGTTTTTTTTACAATATATAAGCAATTAAAGTAATTAAGAGATTAATATTATAATCGGTACGTAAGTATGTACTTATCGTTATCATTATGTACGTATGAGTAATGGTTACACATTTAAATACTATAATTGGTACGTACAAACGTACGCAAGATCGCAGGCGTCGTTAATCGTAAACCTATCAATCACGTATCCGGCCGATACGTACCAAAGTTAATTCTATGCGTATTTGGAAATTATTATTGTACATTTCAAAAATAGGTTAAAATTAAAAATAGCTAATAGGTTCTATTAGCTGTTCTATTAGTATGATATGCCCGTTTGTGATAACTCTTTCTTATCACATTGTCGGCGTATGGTCAGTTGATTGTGCACACGTAAACAAAGTGACAAGGAACTGTTACGCGACTTCCTGTTCTGACGCACAAAATCCTGTCTTATTAATCACATCCTGAAGAAAGCACGTATTATATACATTGGGAAAACAAATAAATACAACGCTTGGTTGAATTGAATTTTATAGGACTTGATATTGTTGCATTGCCGCGTGGTCTGTGGCGCAGTACATTACCTAAATATATATGGACTGTCATTCCTCATTTTTTATTTTTTTATTATTTTTTTTTTTAAACTATAATAACTCTATAGCCATACATATATTAGCGCCATTTTTTGCTTCCTTAATTTATAAAAATGTCGGATTATCTCGGTATAAATATAGAAACAACCGACAAGTCACGCTGGAGACTCGAGGTGGATCATGGAAAGCAAACCTGGCATTATTTAGAAAGTAATGATGAGATAAAAAATTGGTCTCAAACTGCATGCGATCGTTATTGGTTAGGATTGTCCCATGATGTGAGTATCAAATTTCTTAATTACTCTTGAGCATTTAATCATTTAATCGATGTTTAATGATAACGAATTTTGGTATAGAAAATTAATGATAATCAAAAAGAATATTCCTCTCCAAAAACTTCTCTTGAATTCGCATACAATGGATACAAATTCTTTAAACAATTGCAAACTGTGGATGGTCATTGGGCGGGAGAATATAGTGGCCCTATATTTCTGATTTCAGGACTTGTGTTTTCGACATTCATTACTCGTTTATCAATCCCTCAGGCTTGGAAAATTGAAATAATCACATATCTAGTTAATACCTTTAATCCGGATGACGGCGGCTGGGGAATGTATGTGAAATTTGAGTTTTGAAATTATTTTCCATTAACTTTCAAAAATATTAATTATTCGTTTTTTGATTTTTGTTAGACATATAGAAGACCATTCAAATCTGCTAGGAACAACTTTAAATTACGTTGCACTCAGAATTCTAGGAATGGATCCTGAACATCCCGTACTGGTCAAGAGCAGAAAATTCATACATAAACTTGGTGAGTCAATGCTCTAGTTTTTTTTTTTATTCCGGGATCATTCATTCCTAACCATGCTTTTTAAAACAGGTGGAGCTGTAGCTATTCCGTCTCTTGGAAAGTTTTGGTTAGCAATGCTGAACATTTATGATTGGAAAGGAGTTAATCCAGTCTTACCAGAATTATGGTAAATACTTCTCATTATCAGTTTATCTAATAATACGCATTCAACCATTAAAATTAAAACAATTATATATGTTTACATATAAAGGCTTCTTCCATACAAGTCACCTCTTCATCCGGCTCGCATTTGGGGTCCAATACGTGCTACCCATCTCTCAATGAGTTATCTTTATGGGCGTAAAATAGCTGAGAAAATGAGCCCGTTAATTGAACAATTACGACTTGAGTTATTTGTTCAACCATATGATAAAATTGATTGGTCTGCCGCAAAGAACAATGTTTGCGAGGCGGATATATATTTTCATCGGTCTCCAATTTTAGTTGTTACTAACAGTGAGTTTTTTTTTTTTTATAAAGAGATAAGTCCATTATTAGTTGTAGGTGATCAGAAAAGAATAAAAAAACTAATGCTATTGACTAATTTTTATCAATAAAGCGGCTTCAAATGTTTGGAACAAATTCCAAAGTTTATTAGGTCTTCGTAATATCGCATTAAAAAAAGTTTATAAATTAATTAAACTTGAAGAAATTGATTCTAATTATGTCTCTGTTTGTGCAGTATGTTGAAAATTTTTTTATGTTATGGCCAAGCCATCCAATTTGTTAACATATTAAACCCCTTTGAATGATTTAATAGATTGATAAATTATTTCGTTTGGTTTGTGCTTATTATGAAGAGGGTCCAGAGTCTGAAATGTTTTTAAATATGAAAGATAAGGTTGCAAATTATATATGGTTTGTGTTCTCGTAGTTTTTTTTTCGAGTTCAATTGTTATATTAACACTGCTCATTAAAAGTATTTAGTTGTTTTAAACAATGTTTAGGATGACTCCAAATGGGATGTTAATGAATTCTGTTGATGGATCACAAATTTGGGACACTTCACTCGCAGTGCAAGCAATAATAGAAGCAGGTAATAAATTTGAGAATGCCTAAAAGAACTTTTGCAAATATTTGTTACATGTTATTTATTTATTTATTAATATTTCGAAAGGTTTAGGAAATGATCCAGAAAATCATGAATCAATGATTAAAGCGCTTGAATTTTTAGATGATTCACAAATAAAAAATAATCCAACATATATGAAACAATGTTGGAGAGAATCTTCAAAAGGATTTTGGAGTTTTAGTACAAGAGAACAAGGGTGGGCCGCCAATGATTGTACTGCTGAAGCTTTAAAAGCGATATTACTTCTTCAGGGTAAATTAGAGTAAGTTTTGTTTTGATTTTTTTTTCTTGGTTAAGCTATATGATTCTATAAATGATATTAATGATTGGTCTTCTAACTTTTTTACATTCAAGTTACACACCACCATTAATTAATCAAAAGCGAATTCATTCTGCAATTGATAATTTAATCAAAAAACAGCATACTAATGGAGGATTTTCACGTTATGAAAACATTCGTGGTTATTGTTGGATGGAGTTGATAAATCCTTCAGAACTTTTGGAAAATACTTTAATCGAACATACTTACGTTGAATGTACAAGTTCTGTTATGACTGCTTTAAGAATATTTTCCAAATTTGATCTCGTGGACCATTACGTTGATGATATTGAGTAAATTTTTATTTTATTTTTGCCAATCATACTTTCAAAAGATTCTTTCTTCCACTCTCCCGTTGGAAGTTGCCTCG